TTGCTACGACAGGTCCTACCAGTCGGCCTTCTAAATACTGGTACCTCGGGTGTCGGCGTGCCCACGAGGTCCCGGCCATCTGGCCCGGGATACCTCGGGCCGGCAGTGGGTAGGTCCATCGAGGGGGCAGTGGTAAACGGCTAAAGTTGGCCAGAGGCTCCTTCCCTTCCTTTCCTTACCTCTTCCCTCCCTCCTCGTTATGTCCCACCCTTAAGTTGTTGGGGGCCTCGACGGGTGAGCTGCGGTATTCAGCTCGGGAACCGACCTGCTGAGCCGGTAGAGCATAGAAAGGGCTCGGCACCACCAGTTGTCTGCTGACGAGAGTCCGCGTCCTCGTAGTAACTGGTAGCTCCTGCATGGCTTGGCATGCGGGAGCGCGCTTATTGAGCGTATCTCAATTCCGCGCCCATGGGGCCGTGTGGATAAGCCTTTGGGCAGGTGCTGCACGTTAAATCACTCAAGATTAATGTCAGCAACTATAAAAACGAGACGCAGGCTCGAATGATCGTATCTCCTCTTCCCAAATTGTCCATTTTTGCTAGCAATCTGAGCGCGGATTACGTAGAATTACTTTAAATAAATTAGAAATACAGATTTGGGCCTGAAAAATTAGCCGAAAATCGATTTCAACAATCTTGTGTGAAATACACGATTTTGCAACAAAGACAAGTACACAATTTGGTCTCGCAAAGAGACGACTAAAATAATTCTTACCAAATTTCAAGGCCGATGCGTTCGCGCGCGCGCGCGAAGAAATCTTACATTCGAAAAAAAAGGCTATCGCAAAATGTGAACGAATCGCAGCGCGCCAGAGAGATTTTATGAACGATCCTTAATCCTTGATTGCGAGCCCTAATCCGGTCGTAAATGAATGTCAATGCCCCGCAAACCGCAACATGATTACTTTATGGCCTCGGCGATTTTACGACGTCGAAATATTGTGTCCGGTATCTTGTGGTTGTGAAATTGGCCGGGCCCTAAAGTAATTACGGTGCGGTAGTCAGGGCAATGCACTTTAACTGATTTACGATCGAATTAGGATTCGAAACCATGATCCAGGGTTAGGCCAACCGCGACTATACTAGTACGCACACGTTCAGGTACTGTTGACTTGAATGTCGACTATGTAACACTTTTCAGTTACGTTTATTACGTTTACAAATATCGTTGTCAACGTTGATAAGCGTTCCAATCAGTTTCACGTATTCGTGAATACATATTTTATGTGTTTGTGTGTGTGTGTCCGATAATGATGCTAGCGACACGCTATAATCATCCTAAATACTATGCAACGATAACTACCAGTATTAACACACGATCCAACGACTTTGCAGTATTTTAGTTGCCCATGAACGTACTAATACTGCCATTTGCCACCTTGGAGTCCATTAGGATAGTGATTTTGACGAATAAGAGTCGATAGATATCGGGTATAGCAAATTCTCTCCAATTGTCCCTCGGCTTGTAAACGAAAATGGACAATTTGGAAAGAGGAGATACGATTAGTCGAGCCTCGCCGCTCATTTTTATAATCGCCGATTGTCAACAACGATTGTCCATATTTATTATGGACTTGTTATTGCCTATATTATTTATTATTGTCTATATTTAGTTATGGGAATAACTTTAGCACGTTGAGCGCCGCGTTGGTCACATATGGGTGACACTAATTTTTGACTAATTTTAAAAATACATTTTCATTGCAATATATTTGAATAAACTGAATTTGATTATGATGTTTCGAATGCGCAAGAGCTCTAATATCATCGACCATGATAAATTTTAACTTTCTAGTTTCGCTTTAATTAATTAAATTGCTCTGACTTTGTGGGAATTTTTTTTTAGTGGTTGATCGTCGGCACTGAGCGTGTTAATACTTTTCACTATTTGAACTTTTCAATTAGAACCTTTATTTAATTAGAGAAGGTATAAAATATGTACTCTGTTTATGAAATGTTTGCGTTAACTGATACGATTCAATAACAAAAAGATAAAATACATTATCACGTGCCTTCGCCATTAAATCATATCCGGTGATAAATAAAAATTTATTTGCTAGATTGATTTTTGTATTCAAGCTATTTGTTGAAATTCAACAATCCATTTCTGTTTACAAGCTGAGAGAAAATTGGAGAGAATTTATTGTATAGTCACGGGACAACGACCGACCGTGCTACATGATTGTGCAGTTTTCATCGCTCGTTATTACAGCTGACAGTGCTTTCATTTCAACTCAGAATTCGGTAAATTAGTTGTAATTCTGAAGAACTAATGCGGCGGCACTGTTATGGCCATTCAAAATTTTAGGAGATATTTATGATATATTTAATAGTTGACATTGGAGGATCAGAATTGACGATCTTAAACAACTTTCTAGAAATTATTTATTGATCAATACTCTCGACGTGGTTGCTAGAATTTTTTCCTCGATTTTCAACGTTCATTTTCATCATTTCTATTACACTGAAACTTGCATACTGTCGTTTGTGAACGGGAATGTAGAATTGTGCGACTGGAGGTACGTCCGATCGACACGTTTTAATTCAAACCGGTCATTAAACAGTGACATTATTATTCATGAAACACGTTCAATAGAAATATCAATCGTTATGCAGGGAAACGGTGCATGCGTTTGCCGAGTTCATTGGTACATAAGTATTATAAATACATAGCCGTTACGCCGACGCCACAGTGCTTCGCTTGATGGAAAAAAATAAAGATATAAATATTTTAGGCACAATCTAGAGACTTTATTTGACTAAAAACAATCGTAAAGATAGAAAAGAAAACTTTCAACACGAAACAGTCATTTAGTGAATGTAAATTAAGGTTTACTGACCCAAATTCATTGAATTCATGAATTATGTGTTCGTTTAACTTCAGCCTAACTTTCCTCGAAAATGATAAAACATGTCTTGAGAAATTCCTCTATATTATAGAAATATTCCTCTATATTATTATATTATTATTACTATTATATTATTATAGAAGTATTCCTCTATATTATAGAAAATTTTCTTGCTCATGCGTGCCCGTTTAACTTTAATCTTCTTAAATACACAACGAACCGAGAAATTTTTGAGAAATGTTTTCATTCTTCTCCAAAAGATAAACAGATTGAAGTTCTATCTATACATAGATCTCTCACTCTAGACGCAGATTATTCTCAACTCGCATATTCGAAAGAGCATATTATGTCAAGGGGTTGCAACCCCTATAACTTTTAAAATAATGAGAAATGTCTAATGGAAAATGCGGTCATGCTTTTTGCAAACTACTTTTATGCAACCTCTCATTTTCACACGCGTTACAAACATTAAGAGTTCTCAGAATTCCTCGAAACTATGTTATAAACTGTTTATTTTATTTTTAACAATTTAATCCTTATAATGAATAACGTTTATTCAAAATGAACAACTACAGCACAATGCGTTCGCGTATACAATGCAATAGTGATATAATACAGCGTGTCCCATAATTATGTTAACACTCGGAAAGAAGTGATTCCTGAAATTATTTTAGATTATAATTATATATAATTATATATTATATATTATATATATATATATATATATATATATATATATATATATATATATATATATATATATGGTATTATAATATATATAATTATATATTATAAGACCAAAGTTTAATTCTTCGTTAATAGAACTTTAACATGACTGCTGTTAATTCTGCCACTGTCAAGATAAAACATTTCTATTCCAGTCTAATTATGTCTCTATATCAGTTTATAAAAGTAACAATAACACATTTATTCTTATTTAATAAGTAATATTATATACAAAGCGTCCCAAAAATGTCTC